CGAAAAGGCCAGTAAGAGAAACACTGAAAGGGCTTGTTAAACAATATCTCCTTTAACATCATTTTTTTTTTTTTTTTTTTTTTGGCAGTGCCATGAGGTTTGCACGATCTTAGTTCCCCGACCAGGGATCGAACCTGGGCCATGGCAGTGAAAGTGCTGGGTCCTAAACACTGGACTGCCAGGGAATTCCCAATATTTCATGTTTTACTCATTTACTTGTCCCTTGTTTGCCTCACCTCCAGAAGTGAGTTCCCCGAGGGCAACAATATTATCTGCTTTGTTCCTAGAGCAGTAACTGGCACACAATAGGATTCAGTAAATATTTGCTGAATGAATGAATGAACTACAGGCATTGTTGAGGATGTGGAGAGATATGAATCCTTCTTATCAGGGCAAAAACTTGCCAGTACTTGGTGAAATTGATTAAAAGTAAGGCTTTTTGGCCCAGTGGTCCTGCTTCTGTGATATTCCAGAGAAGTCTTCTCTAGTTATATAAGGGGCCTGCCCCCGAATGGTCAGTGCAGTATTGCTTGGGCAGTAGAAGGAAACTAGGTGTCCATCACTGGCGGACTGGGTCATTAAACATGGTGCATGTATACCACGGAGTGGTGCTTCTCAAACTCTAATGAGCGCTGAGTCCCCTGGGGGTCTTGTTAAAATGCAGATTCCGGTTCAGTTGGTCTGGGGTGGAGTCCAAGCCTCTGACTTCTAATAAGCCCCAGATAATTCTGATACTGCTGTCCCCTGGACCACACTAGGAGCAAGGGTATAGACGCAAGCAGTCCTGTCCAACAGAACTTTCTGCAGTGATGGAAATCTATTTATCTGTGCTGTCCAATATGGCAGGCACCAGCCACATACGGTTATAGAGCATCAGAAATGTGGCGAGTGCGACCGAGGAATGGAATTGTAATGCACATTCAATCTAGATAATTTTGGTTTAAAAATTAAATGACCACATGTGGCTAGTGGCTACCATCTTGGACAACACAGGTTGAGAAAACACCAACACCGTGGCAGTGAGCAGCAATAAACCAGATGGGCAGACAGCAACATGGATAGGCTGTTAACACGGTATTTTGGTGTGAAATAACGTCACACCATTTTTGGTGGAATAAGGTCGCCTATTTAATACTGAAACCTGACTCCTCACCCACACCCACCTGCCTTCATAGACTATTTCATCAATCTAAAATGCCTCAGTTGTACTGGCACTATTATTTTGTATACCACTGAGAAAGAAAAAGGAGCCATCGATGAAATTAGGGCGTAATGCTAAGACATAACGCTATCAGCTAACTATAAGATGCCTCCCGCTTACGGAGGTTGTAAAAATGGGAAAGGGATGTGCATCTAAGAAGCAATAAAATAGGGTACGTAACCATCACAGCTGGGAATATGAGTTGGAAATCAGATTAAAGATTACTTTAATCTAAACTATTTTTACTTAGCTTTATAGTAGGATGCAGGCCAAGAATTATAGGGTGGTCCGTGTCTTCATCTCTCTGGGGGCTCAGAGCTACTCAAGTACACAGCTGCTTTCAACTCCTTTCCTCCGCAGAGCTTGTGTGGTTGCCACACATGAGAGCCAAGGTGTGTCTGTATCACCATGACAGAAGGTGCAGTCTCCACTTCCCAGCGATCTTCTTTTTGTTTTTTTAATGCTGCGTTGGGTCTTTGTTGCTGCGCCCGGGCTTTCTCTAGTTGTGGCGAGCAGGGGCTACTCTTCCTTGCGGTGCGCGGGCTTCTCATCGCGGTGGCTTTTCTTGCTGTGGAGCACGGGCTCTAGGCATATACAGCTTCAATAGCTGTAGATCGTGGCTCTAGAGCGCAGGCTCAGTAGTTGTGGCCCTGGGGCTTCGTTGCTCTGCGGCATGTAGGATCTTCCCGGATCAGGCATCGAACCCGTGTCCCCTGCATCGGCAGGCGGACTCTCAACCACTGCGCCACAAGGGAAGCCCTCTACTTTGCTTTTAAATTATGTTTACTGTTTCTTGTCTGTGACCTCCTGCTAGAATGCAAGCTCTGTGGCGAGAAGCATTTAGATTTGTCTGGCTCGTTCACAGCCCTACTTCCAGTACCTAGAACCATGCCTGGCACACAGTAGGTACCCAGTAAATAGACCAATGCCTGGTGCATAGTAGGTGCCCAATAAGTAGACCAATGCCTTGCACACAGTAGGTGCCCGATAAATAATCGTTCTTGAATGAAAATAAGAAAGAGAATGAGATTCATAACGCAATGATTTTGTGTAAATTACAAGCAACACAGTGTGACAATGCGGGTGTTCCAAGGATGCAAGGCCATCTGTGTTGATGCCTTTGGGGAGGGAGGGGAAGCAGAGCCAGGGATGACAAATGGAAATAAATAAAACGAGAGCAGAGCTCTGTCAGGACCTGATGTGATTAACTCAACTCTCCTCACCTGAGATCTGATTGGGGACATGAGGATCTCTTCACTTCCATAGTGTTTTCCAGGAAACAAGCTAGGTCTTTGCCCTCCCTGTCCGGGACCTCAGCAGTCCCTGCTCAGGGTCGCAGCGCAAGGCTGGGGCGCTTCCTTCTACCACACCAAGTACAGTGGATGGTGAGGGGGCAGACGCCCAGGGGACACCATGCACTTTGGAACATGGCTCCTGGCTGGGCACGATTGGACCTGTGTGTGCATATCTGTTGGGTGAATTAAATGAATGGAGAATGGAATTTAGGATTGTTAAAGTTTTATTAGTAGCATTTCCCCGGTTTTTACAGACACTAAGAGTTTTGAAAATTGTCTTCTTTGGAATATGGTGCCAGTGCAGCGCCTTTGCCTCCACACTCCTGCTCTGTGTGTCTCAGGGGCACCTTGAATAATGACGGGGATGTGGTGGGGTGCAGAGAGAACCCCTGAAGGAACTGCTCTGGGAAAGAAGAGCAGGGTCTTGGGGAGCATGTGGGCAGGTGATATTCTGTAACACCGGCTAAGATCTGCTCTGTATGGTCTCCTGGATCCAGGTTTGGTACTTGCACAGGTTGGTATAGACGCTGGGGTAACCAGGCTGGGCACAGTTCTCCATCCCCCAGGACACGAGGCCCTGGAGCTCTCCTCTGCACACCAAGGGTCCCCCGGAGTCACCCTGAGGGGGAGAGACAGAGGTGGAGACATCCACAGACAGATGACCAGAGCCGTGGGCATGGAGAACCTGAGAGGCAAAGATGGGATGGGGGTGGGCTGGGACCCCTGGGCAGGGGCTCTGGAGATCTCAGCCCCTGGGCGTTGGGGCCACTGATTCCCACTCTGTCTCTGTCCCTTGGGCCCCTCTTCATCTTAGATCTGTCTCTAGAAAACTATGTGTGTGTTTCCACATCCCCTGTCTCTGGAGCCATTGCTCAGGGATGGATTAAGATCTCTAGAGGACCTGAGCCCAGCTTTCCAGGTACCTGTACGTGATGATGGCAATGACAGTGGTGATCAGAGCTCTGTGCTCTTTCCATGGACTAGCTCATCTCATTCCACCGACTAAGACCTGCTACCCCCATGGGACAGATGAGGAAACTGAGGTCCAGTACCCAAGGGCAAACAGCGTGGAGGCAGCCTGGCTATTACAACCTCTCTCGTTCTCTGTGTGTGTGGAGTGTGTGGGGGGGGCTCCCCTGATCATCATGTTCCTGTGGTCCTTTTGTACCTAAGTCCCTGCTCCAAACAATCCCCCTGCCCATGCTCTCCCTGGGCCTCACCTGACAAGAGTTCTTTCCACCTTGGGGGACCCCTGCACAGACCATGCCAGCAGTGATGGCTCCAGAATAGGCCCACTGACAATCCTGATCCGAGGAGATGTTGATGTTCACGCATTGCAGAAACTTGGGGAACCTGGCTGCAGGGGCACTGAGGGGTTACAGTGGAGTCTACCCTCCAACAAGACCCAGGAGTCAGGGCCTGAGCCCCTCCCCCCTCAGACCCAGGATCCAGGCCCCCAGACCCTCCTCCCTCAGACCCAGGATCCAGGTCCCCGGCCCCTCCCCCCCCTCAGACCCAGGGGTCCAGGCCCCCGGCCCCTCCCCCCTCAGACACACGACTCAGACTCCCAGCCTCTCTTTCCTGATGCAGGACTCTCACCGTTGGGACTGGATATTGTGCCCCAGCCCGACACAAGGCAGGGAGTCCCTGCGCTGGCACAGGAGCTGGCCACGGCGATGGGCCTCACTGCCCTCCACAGCCGAGCAGGCCGCTCCAGCTGCAGCAGCATCAGGTCGTTCTCGATGGTCCAGGAGTTGTACTGGGGGTGGGGCACCTGGCGGACCACACGCAGCACCTGCTGTGCGGCCTCCCAAGTCCTTAGGTTGTGCTTTCCCAGGGCAACTCGAAGCATCCTGGCCCAGGACCCCCAAGAGTAGCGCTGCTCAGGGTCTGACCTGGAGGCCTCTCCCCACCCTGCAGCGATGCTCCCTTCCCCGGTGATGAGTTTTCCTCAAGTCTAACCCTCCCTCTAACTGCAGGCTGAGTGTTTCCTGGCATCCTGTACACTTTCCCCCAGCCTCGGCTTTCTCTCTGGACCCAATCTTACCGTTCTCCCCTTCCCCTTGTGGGCTGCACTTTGCCTTCTCACTTGGGTGTCAGGTGATGGCTGAGCGGTCTTGGCTCTGTCCTGGGGTCTGCACCTGGATCGATACTGTGAGCTCTAAGTGAGACTCTGGGCTGTGGCTCTAGGCTCTAGATCAGAACTGATATTCTGGAGTATCCATTCCAGTGACTCCATTGCTTCAGGGAGGCTCCATTCCAGTTCTAGCCTGGCCTTTTGACTCTAAGCTAGGAGCTGGGTTCTAGATTGAATCTGGATGATAGCATACTTTCTAGATACTGGTGTGAGCTCCAGTTTCTAGGTTGAGTTCTGGGTTCTTGATTAAGCTCTGGTTTATGACCTGGGTTGTAGACAACGGTTTGAGCTCTGTGCCCCAGTTGGGCTCAGGGCTCTAAACACTGGTCTGCATTCTTGATTCTAGGTTGGGTTCTGTCTTAGATCAAATTACAGGTGATAGTCTGGGCTCTTGGTTCTAGACTCTGGTCTGAGCCCTTGACCTCAGGCCAGGCTCTGGGCTCTAGATGGAGCTCCAGGTTATGGTCAGGATCCCAGGTTCTAGATGTTGGTTCCCATTCTAGAGTCTGGGCCCTAGGTTCTACACTGAACTTTAGTTTATGACATTAGATCTGGTTTATGGGCACTGGGTGAGCTTTTATCTGGACTTTGACTTCTAGTCTGGGGTCTGAGGTCCAGTCTAGAATCTGAGAAGGGCTCGGGGTTCAGTATGAAACTTTGAATTATGGTCTCCATTCTGGGATGTAGATGGTGGGTTGAGGTCTGGGTTTTAGGCTGCTCAGAGAGGAGCTGTAGACTAGACTCTGGATTAAATGTTGGATCGAGAACAAGCTTCAGGTTCTGTCTTTATCTTATGCTCTGAGCTGTAAGCAGGTTTCTGGATTTATGGCTGGATTGTGGGTTCTGAACCTGACTCTGGATTCCAGGCAGTGTTCTGAGGGGGGTCCTGAGTTTCTGAAGGTGGACTGTGTGCAGAATTCAACCACTACTCTGGAACAGACTCCTAATCTTAGTCTCTATGTAGAGCTTGGCCTCTGGATGGATCTCGGGTTATGTGTTAGATTCTAGATTCTGTGTGGGACTCTAAGCTTGTGTATGGGTTCTAAATGGTTGATCTGCTAAACTGAGTTCAAGATTTATGGCTGAATTCCACGTTCTGAGCCGGGTCTATTGTTCTAAGCTCTTATCTAGACCCCAAACCAGGGTCCAGCCACTACACTGGGTTCTGCGCAGGGCTAGACTCTGGAATTCACTTGGCAGAAGAATAGAGAGGGGTTCACTCACGGATGGGCGCAGTGAGCAGCAGTGATGACCCATTGGTCAGACAGCAGGGACCCTCCACAGAGAAAACTACGGTGGGGACCTGCCAGTAGGGCTGCCTGCCATGGTTGGGAGTTCCGGATGCATCTGGAGCCACCAATTATCTTGTCCCCTTGGCTCTGTGCCATGGCTAGGAGAAGGCAAGGGTGAGGTGGAGTGGGGAAAGTAGATGAACAAATGCTCTCCATCTACCCCCAGCTCTCTAGGACATCTGGAATCCACAAATCCCCCCTTTTCTGCCTAATCCTTAAACCACCCTCCTTTATCTACCCCCACCCTATATGAGATATGCCCAACACTGCCCCCATTATTGTCCCAACATAACCAGGGAGTTTTCTGACACCCCCCCCCCCCCCCCCCC